AATTTTGTGATTAGTACAACCATAATCCAATTAGTAAATAACAGTATAACATAAAATAACGTACAAGAAATAAAAATTTATACCGTTATACTAAATAATTGATGGTAAAAAGACAAATTCATACATCCGGATTTTTTCAGTGTATTGTAGCAACAGAAAAATGCGAGAAATAGGATATTACAATTCTGTTTTAAAATTTTCTCATCAATCATACGAATTTGATTAACACCTGGACTTATTGTAAGTGAAGGATATAAAGAAGAGTAATTACACTCTAAGAAGAAACGCGCCGACTCTTGAAGATCTGTTATTTGTTGTTGTTAGAATTTTTGACCTGATGGCAATAGAAAATAACGAAGAACCGATTGAGGTATGCAGGTGTTGATGGTGGCCAGGTGTCCTCGCGACTTGTGGAGAGGTGTGAGCATTTTTTGCCATTAACAAAGCGGCGGTATTTGCATGAAACATCTTCCTGAAGTGAATGTCAATTGATCGGATTCTAGGTAGAGACCGACTTGAAATGTAGTATAACGTTTCATGCGATTGATGTAATGAATAAAAATGTATCGGGTTGTGAGTAGAATATTAATTAGAAAAAGAGGTAAATTTGCCTTATGGCTATTAGGAGATAAGATGCGGATTTCTCATGTTCACATAGACGATTTTATTTTCCCGGTCTGTTATTTAGAAATAAAACTCATTGTCTTTATTGCTCAATATTTCGCTAATTATTTGATAGCATCCTCAGGAGAAAACTACAATATAATTAGAATTGAATAAAATAAATATGAAATATGAAGAAAATATCAGTAAAAATAAAAAGACCGTTACAGATTCATATGAAAAATCCCTCTACATACAGGGTAACAAAAAAAATCTACAAACTGATTTGTGACTCAACTGTAAACTAGTTACTAACTGAATTTGTCTGCACTCAGCAAAGACTGCAATCATATCTGTTTAGGATTAAACTTAAGAGGTCGCTGGTTAAATGATATTGGATAAATAATTATAAAGAAAAATGCAATATTTGTTTGTACGTAAAAGTAGCGAAAATAGCAACTATCAATTGTAAATAAATTATGAAATTAACTGGTTTACTCATTATCGTTGTTTGTACAAAGAACATAGACTTACCCTTTGGTTCTATTGATGTATTCTTAACAGGAATGAAGAGTTGGTCGCGGTACCGACGCTAGCGTCGCCGAGGCTATAGCACGAGACCGTCCAAACTAGGTCCGTGTCGATCGTTGTCTGGTCTTGAAGTCAAGTGCGTTGAGATGATCAGAGCTAAGGAACCTGAATCCTCAATACTCCGGGAGTATTGGATTTTAGGAAGTGTAGAACTTCCAAATTTCAGAAGAACTGAAAGAGAGGTGATGAAAAAAAAATACTAAAAATAGGGCTAAGCTCAGAGGAACAAATTTAAATGGCCAAAGAGACACTAAATCTCAAGTGAGTGTTCGGGCTAGCTTCAATGCACTGGATTGTGGCTTTAAAGATATAAACAACAATAGCAAGGATAATGAGCTAATGAGACAAGAAACGAAATGAGACCTGGTAATATCAAATGTGATACAACTAAAGAAGGTCACTGGGAATAAATTTATAGAAAGAGAACAATAAGAAGAGAAAAGAAGGGCGCCAACTCAACGATAGTTGAGATTTTGAAGTAACAAATGACCGAAACAAATGATACAGAGATAATAACCTGAAATACAAAATACTAAATACTAATCTTGTTTTGCTATATTATATACTGGTTAGTAGAACTGAAATAAAACTCAAAATAGTAACAATAAATATATTTATAAAAATGTGTATATCGATATATATGTATTAACAATTTACATATAATGCAAAAACTAAATAACAGTGGTAGTGGGTGTGTAAAGATATAATAGGACCTAATAGCCCCTTAACAAGCGAATAGTCACTACCACTGGCCAAATAAAGTTTAAAATATTAGTAACAATTCAAGAATAGTCCGTATGATAGCCAAAGTCTTAACACAAAAAGGTAGTAATTTAACTTTAAATAGTTCTACTAATATGAGATACTAATGACAATATTGTAAAGATATCAAACTTGATAAGTCTATTACAATTATTATATTACATCCAAAAAATGAGTCTTCAATACTCTTTATATAATGTTTAAAAAAAAACCACATGAAATTTATTTCCCTTCCCAAAATCAAAATTGTATTATATCAAAAATGTATTCTATTAAAAAAATATATATTAAATCAACAAGTGAGTTCGGTCAGACTCTTGAAATCCTAACTAAAACCTAATAACACATGAAGTGTCCTTTTTCCCTCCCCGAATATTTTATAATTAAATTATCAAAAAAAATGTTCACCTTGTCATATGCATATGAAGAGGGTATACTACTAAATAGGAAGTAACAAAAGTTAAACAATTAAACAACTTATCTTAAAATCACTACAAGTCCATAGGAAAACTCCTCTTGGCACGGCAAAATTAGTTCTGGGCTATGATGACAAATCCATGGGAGTACACGGTAGTAAACACCCGGCGCTGGTCTATCCGGTCCGAGAAATCGGTAACTCCAGAGACAAGTTGCTAATTAGTTTAAGGATTCAAAGTTACTAATATCCTTGAGGGAATATTCTCAAGAGAATACTCTCAAGTGAAGTAGGAATATGGAGCCGCAGCACGCCAAAAAAATCTTCCTTTTTATGTGGAACTCTTAGATTAGTATTGATTTTAAAAAATTAATTATTATTATTAATATTTCTATTTTATTCTTCCCCAAATTATCTTCCTTGCTCCAATTCCGTCACTTTGAAGGTGAAAAATTTCACCGGTTGACGTGGCTGCGTATGAGTTCTGACCAAAACTGAAACTTCTTTCGCACAACCTCGATCTTCCTTTCAAAGCGCTAACAGCGCGTGGGTGGAGAAATGTCGATTTAAAAATCGATCACAGGCGGGTTATAAGAAAATTTCTTGAGGGGTTTAAATTGGACTAGTCAGTAGCGTTTTTAAAAAAGTCTTTAGAATGCAGCATTAAATTAGATCACATTACGGTACCGTAACAGAAAAATATTAAATGTAAAAATATGAAAAGAATTCGTTCATACTTTCCCAAACAATATCAGTATATCTAGTTTTATCATGGAGCACAAGTTGACGATTCCAGTGATGAAGAAGTGGCGATGTTGTATTATTATTATCATCATTTCCGAAGGAACAGAACAAGAAGAAGGTTTTGGGTAGATTATTTATTGCTGCAAAAGAACTAGAACTAGAAGTTCCATTTTTTTTTCGAATTTTTTCATTTTCGCTGTTATTACCTATTTTCAGAAACTACTTTTATCATCATCATCAGCCGTTTTGAGTCCACTGCTGGACATAGGCCTCTCGTAAATAATTCCAATGCATTCTATCTTGAGCACCCTGAATCCAGTTGTACTGAATGCGCTTGATGTCATCTGACCACCTTGTTGTAGGACGTCCTCGATTACGATAAGCATCGTGTCTAGGTCTCCATTCCAGAATTTTCTTCGTTCACCTTCCATCTTTCATTCAATTCCATTTCAATATTGTAATCCTTTGAACTGCGTCAGTAACACCAGTTTTTCTCCTGGTAACTATTGTATTTGATACTCTATCTCTGAGGGATATATTCAGCATTGACCTCTCCATCGCTCTATGTGCCACTTGTATTTTATTGATTACTTTTCTGGTAAGGGTCAATGTTTCTGCTCCATACGTTAGAACTGAGAGTACACATTGATCAAAGACCTTCCTTTTCAAGCACATGGGAATATCTGATCTAAAGACTTCTCTCAGTTTTCCGTAAGCCGCCCATGCCAGTCCTATTATCTCCGTTGTTTGATTATCTCTTCCTAATTTAATCTCGTGGCCCAGATATTTATAGCTATACACCTGTTCAATTTGCGTGCCGTTAGTTGAGATGTTTTTCGCCAGTACAAGGTTGGTCATATATTGTGTTTTAGAAAAATTAATTTTAAGTCCAACTCGTGTACACGAGCTCTGAAGGTCTTGAAGAAGCTGGCAGGCATGATCTATCCGGTCTGCAATAAGGACTATGTCATCCGCAAATCTCAAGTTGTTCAGAAACTCTCCATTTATGTTGACTCCAATATTCTCTCAATTATTGTTACTCTGCAATAAATTTGCAGAGTGCTATGGTGAATAGCTGGTGAATAGCTTAGGAGAGATGGTATCTCCTTGCCTAATACCACTCTCGAAGGGAAATGTATTTGTGTTGCCATAATACATTCTAACTGCTGCTGTAAAAGCTCTTAACATGGAACTATGCTGGACTGAGTCAAACGCTTTCTCAAAGTCTACAAATATTAATATTAATGGCTTGTTGTATTCTGTTACTTTCTCTATTAAGGATTTTATTACTTGTTGGGGTCATTCGTTCCAAAGCCACTCCTAAATCCGGCCTGCTCTAATGGTTGGTGAAAATCCAGCTTAGGTTCCAGTCTGTTAGTAATTATTCTCATAAAGAGCTTGTATAAATGAGATAACAAGCTGATAGGTCTGTAGTTTCCAATTTCTGGTACATCTCCTTTTTTGTGCAATATTATCATAATGGCACTATTCCATTTTTCTGGTGTAACTCAGGGCAGGCATTATAAAGGGTTTTTAGAGCTTTTATGACGCATTCGCCTCCTAATTTTAGCATTTCACTTACAGTGCTATCTTCTCCAGGTCATTTGCTGTTCTTCATACCTTTCAACATTCGATTCGATTTCCTCTTCGGTTATATCTGGAAGTTCCTCTGATTGATTTTGTATGGCTGGGATTTCCACCTCTGGAATGTGAGCATCTCGACGATATAATATCACCGAAACTTTTTAATCATTCTCTGGAAGATATTTTTAAAAGATTAGAATGGGAAGAAAAATCTATAAAAATTTGTGGATAACGCTTGAACCATCTAAGGTACGCTGATAACATCGTATTGATAATCGATAAAAAAGAAGAATTGTTTGAAATGATGAAAGAACTGGACGTAGAAGCTGGAAAGATAGGCCTTAATATGAATTATAGCAAGACCAAAATCATAACAAATACAAATAAAGACATCACAATGAGGATCGGACAAGATGAAATAGAACAAGCTCAGGAATATATATTAATAAGATCCCCAAATTTTAAATAAAATTAAAATCAAAAGACCAAAAAAAAATCGAGAACACCCTGTATATAGAAATAGTTTAGTTGTAAAATCATAAACCATTTACCGGGAACAACGTGAGTGGTTTCCGAATATGTGAATAAGTGATCTAGAAAGTTTTCTCCGATAAAAAGACAATACGGTTTGGACATGACCAGGTAGTTTTAGTACACAACTATTTGAAATTTGCGGTTATAATAGATTAGAAAGTAATAAGTAAGGATTATTGGTTAATGGGTTTTCTCCTTTACAAAAGTTAAAAAAAGAATTCAAGGTCGTTTGCCGAAAAGTACTTTAACGTCAGGTAATTTTTGAAAAAACCAAAAATTTAATGGACTAAGAAACCGATGATGCGTTTGATGAGAGGGGAGGTTTGTTTGGATTGGTTTGAGATGGATAAAGAAGAAGGGGGTGAAAAGCTTGCCGGGAATGAAATGAGGGAAAATAAGGACATTGTGAGTTGAACATCGAGAGAGACCGGTTTCGGTGAAAACATTTTTTTTGAGAATTTATAAGAAGTAGTGCTTAGTGTTTGTGTGAAAAATTAAGCAGCCAGTGTGGTAAGCAAAGACGAGTTCCAGTAGAAATAGAGGCATTACTGTAAGTACAAACAGATATATTTTCGTTGTGTCTGAGAGGAAGCAGTTTGTTTGTCTTGGAGTTTGGAGCTTGTGGTAAAGACATCACGACATTTTCACATACTGTTTGTCTTTTTCTTTTATTATCAAAAGAAACAGTAGGCGGAATAGCGAGCAGGGAAATTGGTAAGATCCGGGAAGTACATTGCGATCTGGTCAGGGCACAATCCAAGCAGAATCAAGGGAAGATAGTCTGTTTGAAACCAAGTTATGTATATTTAAATTTTTATTGAGCATTAAGGGATGTGTGATTTGATGGATAATTAATTATTTTTTTATTCTATTTATAGTGTATGGTGTAAGATTTATCCTCAACGAAATTTTAAATTAATTGGATATATTTTAAAATAAAGGACAATTGTTTTAATATCAGAATTGATTGTCTATTATTTCTTTTTCCTTTTTGTTGATCTTTCTAAAATGGAACTAGCAGAAGATACTTTGAAGCCACGTTTTAATTAAAAAAAAATAAAATTATTTTTAGCCCTGAGATATTCTTTGCTTTTGATTTGTTTGATAAAGATAAATTTATTACATTTCAGACTATATTAGTAGATTTACAATTATAAGCAAATCACAACAATATATCTGAGTCAAACTATAAAACTTAACAAAGAAAACCAAACAGCAGAGATAAAGAGACGAGTTAGACTGGCATGGGCGGCATTTAGCAAACTAAGATACATTCTTAAAAACAAAAGATATCCACAGCATCTTAAGACCAAAGTATACAATCAATGCGTACTCCCTGTTCTCACTTATGGTTAAGACTAATGGATAAAAAGAGAAACGAGTAGATAAGAGAGAAAACAAAAGTGAGGGATGTTAGACAAGAAGTTGCAAAATTGAAATGGAGATTTGCCGGACACAATATAAGACAAACAGAAGACCGATGGAACAAAATTCTTATAAGTTGGAGACCGTGGGAATATAAACGAAGCAGAGGAAAGCCGAAGCATGAGATGGGCAGATAATATCAAGAAGCACGTGGGCTCTAGGTGGATGACTGTAGCGACAGACAGAGAAGAATGGATAAGTATTGTGGAGGCCTATGTGCAAAGATGGACCTAAGAAGGCCAATTAGATAGATAGAAAATAACAAGTGCGTAACCCTCTGAGAATTAGTCTTAATTATTATGTCCAGTCCATAAAAGTCGTCTTATGAAGACCGCGTCACTCTGTACATTACCTGAACGTAACAACAAATCAACAAAACAAAATAGAAATAAAAAATCCATCTAAAAGTCCTCGATCTCTACGAAGTGAACAACAACACAACAGCTTAAGCAAAGTTAAAGTATCCGCCAAGATATCCGTGGCGATTATAATTAGCAAAGGTCGCTGCGGCGGCATATAAGCGCCGCGAGGTGTGCAGGTGTTCTGCAGACGCACAGGCGCCCATTTATATAGCTCCTCTCACCTCACCGCCGCCCTCGACAAGACCACAGCATCTCTTACTCGCGCCCACTATCTTAATGGTCTCTCGACTACATTTTTCTTTTCTTTTATGCGTAATTAACTATCAAACCGTTTCACATTTAAGATTTAATACGTCACGAATCCTATATCGAAGTTTATAACCCATTTGTAACGGTTACAATATGTTATTTCTTGCATAATGGAATTGTTATATGGTTATACCCAAGTGGACAATGTAACATTTTATTTTCTATAATATAAATATTAGTATATACCAAGAAACCAAGAAACATTTGTTAACAAATAAAGTTATTCATATATTGTATTCGTGATTTTTCAATATCCTACCTATAGTCAAGTACAGTTCTGACACGCTGGAATGAGTAAGCCCAAGATTTAGAAATTTTTATGTAATAATCATATGCCGTATTCTACAATCTTAGTCAACTGCATTGGGATGTGTAAAGCCATGGGATAACTACTTTATCAAAGATTCGCGTGGATATCCTAAGTAAAAATCATACATTGGACCCTCAAATCGGTAATTTATTTAATGATCATGAAGCTCGAATCCAAGATCTGGCTTCTTCTTCTTCTTCTTTATAAGCAATTCTGCTTGGTCATTGGCGGATTAGTACCTCTGTGGAAGGTTGTCTACTCCATCTTTTGCGCGGTCATCCGATACTTCTTTTGCCGATTGGTACTTATCTTCTGCTATTTTGACGAAACGGGTCTCCTTCATTTCGGAGCACACTAGTTCGCTCCCAAGGTCAAAAAACCCTCTTAATTACATACTAGTTTGCTCCGAAAACCATAACCTAGTTCGCTCCCGTGGTCAAGCGGATTAAGTATTTATCTATTAAGTTCTAGGAAAATTAACACCAGGAAAATAGGTACTGCGGCTTTTGTATTTTATATTAGAAATTATATCAAATATGTGTTCATATTATATAATCAGTGATAAGCGCGCTAATAACCGGCAAAATAACGCAAACGATGGAAAACATATGAAGTTGTAAGATAAAAGAGATGAAACTAGTAGAGATGAGAAATTTAGCGATAGAAACCTATAAATTTACATTCTATTCACTGTTTCCCACCTTTAGACGTATCAGAGGAGGATGTCAACTAAAACTGTCACTGTCACAGCGGTAGTTTCCAAACTCTTACGTCTAAAGGTTGGAAACAATAAATGAAATGTAAATTTATAGGTTCTATCGCTAAATTTCCCATCTCCACTAGTTTCATTTCTATTTATCTCACAACTTAATATGTTTTCCATCTTTTGCGTTATTTTGCCGGTTATTAGCGCGCTCATTACTGTTATGTATTTTGAAAAATGTTAGTGATTGATTTAGAAATTATATTAGAAATTTTGAATTGTTTTTAAAAATTACTGAAATAATTTTTGTGCCTATTCTAAAATATAGGTATAATAAGAAAGCAATACAAGTGTAAAAACTAACATAATATGGGATATTCTCTACCATTACAAAATTAAACAAATATAAATTAAAACGAGGCATTTATTTCGCTAGAAATCTAAATGAAATACATTTGACAAAATCAAATCTACTAATTTTATTTTGCTTTAATTCCGCTATTTTGTGATCAACAAATTTTTGACGCTCTAGAAGTACTTTTCGGTACACTTTTTTTGGTTTCACAGAACTTCGTATTTTTATATAAGTGTCAATTTGAATATCTTTTAAAACTTCTAAAAATTGAAATATATTAGGGTGCGGATTGTAAAATAACGAATTAAATTTAGAATGGAAACTTTCACAGGCATTGGTTGTACGCTCAAGTGATGAACTGTTTTCCGCCCACATCTCAGGAGGGAAGTCTGCCTCTTCAGAAATATAGTTGTCCACCAAGTAGTCAGCAAATTGTTGTACGGCTTGGTGTTGTGCTGGTAATATTTCACTAAAGTCTAAAGCAAAACACTCACCTACTTCTAATGGATCTAGGAAAGGTAGACCAAACATATATCTAAGGTATTGTCCGACTTCATTGTCGTTTGAATACTCAGTAGCCAGACCAACTTTTTGAATTTTTCTCCACCATGATTGTCCGAGATGAAACCTACATCCTTTTATTTTCGCAGATGGAAACACTTCACTTACAGCTGCATGGATCGCTTTTTCGAAATCGGCATACACAACCTTGGGACTAAAATTTAAGTTCAATTTTTGACACTCCGTCTTTAAACAATTTAAGGCAGTCACATATGAGTTTGTTAACTTATTTGAAAGCAAAAAGAATGCCAACGGCACATAGTGTCCATTTTCGAGTCCGTGAACTGTAAATAGTTGAATAAAAAATTTAGTGCAGTATTTAAAAGTTCCATCAACATAAATTGTTTCTAATTTACTTAAAAATGTTAAGTTAGATACACAAGAAAAAGCAACAAATTTTTTTACCGGATCTTTTTCATAAAAATTGTTCTTGTGGTTGGTGCCACTTCCACGAGTTTACGAGTCATTATTCCTGGCGCACTTCGGTTTTGGAATACTGTTTTTCGTTCTTTGAGCTCTTATAAAGCGTCATATTTCCTTTTGCAGACCGTTTCAAATCATGTTTCATTTCTTTCGAAAGCGTTCTCAGTGATCATTTTTATTTTTCTTATAAGTGTCTGTATTTCGTTTCTAATTATCTTGTAATTATGGACTGCCTCTTGTGTTTTGGTTGCTAAGTTTTTTTTCTTTTTTCATTCACTTCTGTAAGATCTAGCTGGAGAGGACAATCAGATTCCTAGAGGACTATAACTGCATAACAGCACAATCAGCCATAACGCTAGATACTGGATAACGCTGTCGAAAATGTGCAGAATAAAGCTTAAAATACTGTGGCTTGGCGATATACAATAGCCAGGATCAAGAAAATATAACACTAGGACAAAAACAATATATTATTCCGGTAACAACCAAACACAGTAAGCAATTTCGCGTTATAGTTGATAAGATTTCTCAAAAAACGATGAGATTTTATTCTTAATCTAAATATAATCCAAAGTATAGGCACCCACGGGAGACAAGGATAGAGGCCTTCTATGTTAAAGTGGGCCAATGAGAAGTACGATAATGGCCAAAAAAAATGAGAGGAATAAACATGGAGTATACTTTTCTCAATGAGAGTGAAACTAAAGAATATACAGGGCCCTAATGCTAATAATCATAAATAAAAAAATATTACTCAAACTCTAAATGTTGAGCATTAATGCCAACATGTACTTGTCTCTGTTGGAAACGAAACTCTTCAAACCACTTAGGGAAAAAATAAATGCTTAGATGGCAGCAGCTTAGATGCATTTCTTGAGCTTATGGAAGACCTGAATAAATACAAACCAGATCAGAGAAACACTCGAAAGAAAAGTTAAGAAGCAAATAAGAGGTAGCTTTTTTACAGAAACTAGGAAATAAAAGATCTGAATAAAAGAAATTTACACAATTTACACAAAAGAATAAAAGAAAGTGACAGGTTCTAGAAATAGTCAATATTCTTTAAAATGATAAAACAAATGTAATTACTGAGGGGAAAATATATTGATTGAATGGATGAATCGCACCAATTACTATTTATTGGTGAAGGAAAAGAACTATCATTATAGACCAGAGAACTAAGGAAATTTCCGGAATATTCGTTGATACACGGTGTCGCACAACTGCTTCCTACAGCTATAGCCTATGACTCGCAATCAGATGGAATGGTAGAGCGAATGAATTAAGACAGTTGTCAAGTATTCGACAAAAATGGTGTCGAATCATCCGGCTGAGACCATTTCCTTCCGTTCTTCGCAAAGGCCTACAGATCCTGTAGGCTTGAACAGATTACTGTTAATGAATCAACGGCCAAATACCAGCAAAAGTGCTATTTAGACGCAAGATGCGTCTTGTGATGTCGACCTGGAGAAGATGTAGTTGGTGAAGATTATGTGAACGAATTGCGAAAACGAATGAACGATATAAACGAGTTGTTCCTTTTCCATCTTCAGATCGCTACCGAATGAAGAAACGGTACTATACCCAAGCCGAGAAGAGATGTTGTAAGAAGAACGATAAAGTCTGGCTCTATAATTCAAAGAAGCGTAAGGGTGGCTCTTCCAAGCTACGCAGTTCTGGGAAGGCCCGTACCTCATTATCGAGAAGATTACCATCTATCTAACAAATAAGTAAGATTCTTAGTGGAAAACTCATTATAGTACACCATAACCAGCTGGCCTCATTCGAAGGAGACCACGACGTAGATGAAGTGGAGGTAAACCAAGTCCAAGAAGTATCTGACATCACATTTGAGGAATTCTTGATGGCCTATACAGGTAAAAGGTACTGGTAAAACAAGACATGATGTCACCACTGAAAACAAGCAAGATCTACTGGCACTCGCAGATAACTACTCACTGGCCCAAACCATTACGGCCAGTATTAAAGATACACAAACATTGGCATCTATCTTTCGAAGGAAGTTTGGTCAAGTTA